TTCTCCTCAAAAACCCTAAGGAGGCGGGCTGCAGAGATGGCTCAGCAGTAAAGAGCACTGACTGCTCTTGCAGAGGATCCAGGTTCGATTCCCAGCACCCACATGGCGGCTACAAACCGTCCTTAACTCCAGTTCCAGGGGAATGCAAAGCCCTCTTCTGACCTCTGCAGCATTGCACAACACGGGTGCACTCACATACATGCAGGCGATATACTCGTACACATAAAATAATAAAATAAAATAAATTTTAAACCCTAAGGAGGTGTGGTGGTGCACACCTTCAATGGAGGCAGAGGCAGGCAGATCTTTATGGGATAGAGGCCAGCCTGGTCTACTTACATAATGATTTTCAGGCTAGCTTGGAGTCTCCCTGTCTCAAACAAAACCCCCTGAAATTCTAATAGAAACGGTGAGGGAAAAACAGCCATAGGTGAACCGCCACCTTGGGTGTCTGCATCAGGCAGAGCTGTCTGTGAACTTCCCATCAAGAAACTTCTTTCTCAAGTTCAGACGCCATAGGCCTCATTCACAACTCAAAGGCAGGACCACCACCACCTACTTCATTCACGTCTTAGATGTTCACTGTCGTCATGGTTAACCGTCATGACAGTAACAGCAGCTGTGAGTTTGCACAGAGACATGCAGATGTGCCTTCCTTCTGGCCAACTGTGAAATTTCCATTTTACAGCTGAGGAAACAGGTTCAGAGAGGCAAACTAATGTGCCCCATGAGGCTCACACAGCAAGATCAAACCTTGGCCTAGGTGTGAGCTGGCCCGGCTCCTCCTCCCTGCCCGGCAGATCACCTCTTTAGGCCTGCATTCTGGAGCCCTTGAGATCCATGCCTGCCTGATCTACATAGTGAGTTCAGGGCCAGATGGTATTACAGGGAGACACTGTCTAAAAAAGACCAAATCAATCAGTCAATCAAACAATCAATCAATCAGTCAATCAGTCAATCAATCAATCTGTTTACTAGCCATGACAGACTAACAGTCAAGAAGAACTGAGCATTACACACAAAATAATTAAAGAAGGGGGCTGGCATAGAAGCCCAATATTCTGTGAGAATCTCCCTCAGAAGCCAGGGTCTGTCTGTGTTGAAACAGTAAAGTGATGAGGCTGTGTGATAAGAACACATAAGGTAGGCATCCAGGTCAATGACACAGACTGCCCAAGGCGGGGGCAGGTGGACAGCTGGTGTAGCAGGGATGGTCATCATGGAGGGGTGAGGATAGGCCGTTTCTGGATCATCTGAGAGCAGAAAGGTGAAGGGAGATAGAGTCCTGATGGAGCCCAGTCCAGCTGGAAATGGAGGCAGGGCTCTGTCTGTTGATGGGAACAGACTAGGAGTAGTGGCCCTGGATAGAAATACCGCGGTTCTCTACTTGGGACTAGGGGAAGCTCAATGTGCCTGAGGGCAGGGTGGTGTTATTTCAGAAATAGCTAGGTTTTAGTTTGTAGAGAAGTAAAGAGGATATTTAAGGGGGGTAAATTAGTCAGGGTTCTCAGGAGGAAAAGAACCAATCAGAAAAAAGTAATCTGTGTACAAGTAAGTACAAAGGGGGATTTGTTAGACTGAGTTTCACGGTTGGAGACTGCATAGTCCCCAGTGGCAGTGACTGGTCAGTGCAAGAAGCTGAAAGTGTCAGCATGAGGCTGGACATTCTCAGGGAAACCAGGTGGCAGGGCTGGGTGTTCCCTGGAGACTGCTGGTTTGAGTTCATCTCGAAAGGCTGAAGAAGCTAGAGTCTGTCCACAGCCAGTGGTAGTCACACATACATGCACACACACATACACACACATGCACACATGTACACACATGCACACACACGCACACATACTCACATGCACACACGCACACATTTGCACATACATGCACATACACATGCACACATGCACACACAAACCACACATGCACACACACAAAGCACACACACCACACACGCACACACACACACACGCACACATATGCAAACACACATGCACACACGTACACATATGCACACACATGCACACACACACATGCACACATGCACACACAAACCACGCACACACAAACCACACACACACACACACACACACACACACACACACACACACACACACCCTGGGAGCTTTAAAACATACCTGAAATGCTCCAACTCTACAATATCAAGGTCTCAGTGCAACGTGGATTCAGCCAGCACAGGGAACACACACTAGGACAGGCTGCTTCAGATACTAGTGTCCATCTTACCCTCAGGTTGCTGGGTATGATACAAACTATCATCTCCTGTCCCAAGCCTGTTTTCTCATCTGTAAAATGAATCTGGAGAAGTGAGTGGCCTGGCCCCAGGGCCTCCTGCTGCTGTCCAACCTGTATGCTGAATTTCTAGGCAGAGGGTTATTTGAATAGAAGACCCTATAGCCACGATGAGGTACGGTGACCCTTGGCCTGGTGACATTTGGCCTGGGCACTGCTTTCCAGCTTCTGGAGACATGATGCTCAGAAAGAATAAACCCAAATGGGTTTGATCAGCAGAATCTAATGCTTCCTGTATCTGTGGGGATTAACACCAGAACACACACACACACACACACACACACACACATACACACACACACACACACACACACACACACACACACACACACATACACACACAGGGAACTCAGGACAGAGGCCCTGACCACCTGCTGAAAGATGGACCACAAATACCATCATGTCCCTGCACGTGCCCACTCCATAAAGCTCTGAACACACAGTCATGTCTCCAAAGTCAGGCACCTCAGCAAGCTTGCAACAGCAGTCACTGAGTCCTGCCATCTCTGACCTTCAGAAAGTGTAGGAAGCAGGTTCCTGAAGACCCCCCAGCCCCAGGAGTAGTGGGCAAGGAAGGTGAGAAGTCACCTGGCCAGGTGCGTAACAGGAGCCCAGAAGGAAATCAGTCTGGAGGCATTCCTGCCAGAGCACAGCCATGGGCCTGGCTTCTTCTCCTCAAAAACCCTAAGGAGGCGGGCTGGAGAGATGGCTCAGCAGTAAAGAGCACTGACTGCTCTTGCAGAGGATCCAGGTTCGATTCCCAGCACCCACATGGCGGCTACAAACCGTCCTTAACTCCAGTTCCAGGGGAATGCAAAGCCCTCTTCTGACCTCTGCAGCATTGCACAACACGGGTGCACTCACATACATGCAGGCGATATACTCGTACACATAAAATAATAAAATAAAATAAATTTTAAACCCTAAGGAGGTGTGGTGGTGCACACCTTCAATGGAGGCAGAGGCAGGCAGATCTTTATGGGATAGAGGCCAGCCTGGTCTACTTACATAATGATTTTCAGGCTAGCTTGGAGTCTCCCTGTCTCAAACAAAACCCCCTGAAATTCTAATAGAAATGGTGAGGGAAAAACAGCCATAGGTGAACCGCCACCTTGGGCGTCTGCATCAGGCAGAGCTGTCTGTGAACTTCCCACCAAGAAACTTCTTTCTCAAGTTCAGACGCCATAGGCCTCATTCACAACTCAAAGGCAGGACCACCACCGCCTACTTCATTCACGTCTTAGATGTTCACTGTCGTCATGGTTAACCGTCATGACAGTAACAGCAGCTGTGAGTTTGCACAGAGACATGCAGATGTGCCTTCCTTCTGGCCAACTGTGAAATTTCCATTTTACAGCTGAGGAAACAGGTTCAGAGAGGCAAACTAATGTGCCCCATGAGGCTCACACAGCAAGATCAAACCTTGGCCTAGGTGTGAGCTGGCCCGGCTCCTCCTCCCTGCCCGGCAGATCACCTCTTTAGGCCTGCATTCTGGAGCCCTACAGGGACCCCGTGCTTCCCCTTCCATTGTCTCCCCTCTGCCCTCTCCTCTTGCACACTAGCCTCCCTCCTAGAGTTCCAGAGCTGTGGATTCACTGTCTGAGATACCAGAGAGAGCTGGGCAGAGCCATGCACTGACTCAGGGCTCAGCCTGCTCTTGGTAAGGTCTTCATCCACACACTCAACAGGGCAAGTGAGTATGTCTTAGATGTCCAGCCCCATCCTCCTACTGGGCAGGTTGGAAGCCCTCATTCTGGGCTTTCACCCTAACTCCAGGGACTGCAGAGGCCCAGAGGTGAGCTGAAAGCCCAGAGCAGCTGTAAAGATGGTGGATCAGGGGCTGGAGAGATGGCTCAAGGGTTAAGAGCACTGGCTGTTCTTGCAGAGGACCTGGGTTCGATTCCCAACACCCACATGGTGGCTAACAGCTGTCCATAATTCCACTTCCAGGGAATCCAATACCCTCTTCTGACCTCTGCGGGTATTGCATGACATGGGCACACTTAACATACATGCAGGCAAAACACTCATGCACATAAAATAAAAATAAATAAACCCCCCAAAAATTAAAGATGGTGAATCATCAGAACTGGGCTTGTGGCCCCTAATCTCTGGACCCTGGGAACCCTTTAGTCCTGTTCCGTCTCTTGCCTCTCTCCTGAAAGCCCCTTTTAGGCCTGGGAAGGGCAGAAAGCTCACTGAACCTCCCACTTCCATCCTGTGAGCCTACCCAAGGCCTTGTGAACATGCCTGTGAACATGCTAAAGTAGTCTGTGAACATGCTAAAGTCTCCATCATCCCTCTTTCTTCCTCCCCTGTCCTTGCTCCCTTCCTCCTCTTGGGAATCCCCTGAAGAGCCATTTTGGGTACCCTTAGCCTTTGGGGAAATTCTCGGCAAACTACTCCCCAGTGCAACGCAGGGAAGGGAGGGAGGAGACAAGGGAGCACTCAGAGTCCCTGACGGAACGGGGAGTCTGGTGGGCAGCCTTGGCCCCCTGGGTTCTAGTGTTGAACTCAACACTAGAGCTGGCCTTCTAGCAGGCTGAGCTCTCCCCAAGGGCCTGATGCCACCCCCAGGATATCCTCGGCACCGGCGGTTACTGACACCCCCTCTACCTCCTCCACTCTCTCTTGCAGTCCATGGCATCAAATGGACCTGTAGCAATGGGAACAGCAGCTCGGGCTTCTCAGTGGAACAGCTGGTACAGCAGATCCTGGACAGCCACCAGACCAAACCCCAGCCTCGGACCCACAACTGCCTCTGCACCGGCAGCCTGGGTGAGCTGGGGCCCCTGGGGGGCAGGTGGCATTGGGCACAAGGAGCTCTGTGTCCCATCCAATGACAGAAGCAGCGAGTGGAGACCTCTGGGGGCAGGTGGTACTGGGACACAGGGTCTCTGCCATCCTGTCCAGTGAATGAAGGACTGAGTTGGGGACCATGGAGGACAGATGGTGCTGGGGCACAGGGGCCCTCTGGTCCTGTCCAGTGAGGAAGGAACCAGAAACCAGGTGACATCGCACATCTGGAAAGATCACCCATCAGGCCTTTTATCCTGGTTTTGCATCCCCAGAACGGGCTTCCCAGCCAGCCTTGGACAAAAGACAACAGTTTCCAGTGAGGCAATGGAAATAAGAGGTGATACACAGATGAGCTGAAGGAGTGGAGAGGCTTGGGGGCCACTGCACCTACCCAGGTGCTTACAGGGGCCCACGTGCCTTGGAAGCTTCAGTGGGAAACCTAGGTCACCATGCTCTGTGGTGAGGGAAAAACAGCCATAGGTGAACCGCCACCTTGGGCGTCTGCATCAGGCAGAGCTGTCTGTGAACTTCCCACCAAGAAACTTCTTTCTCAAGTTCAGACGCCATAGGCCTCATTCACAACTCAAAGGCAGGACCACCACCACCTACTTCATTCACGTCTTAGATGTTCACTGTCGTCATGGTTAACCGTCATGACAGTAACAGCAGCTGTGAGTCTGCACAGAGACGTGCAGATGTGCCTTCCTTCTGGCCAACTGTGAAATTTCCATTTTACAGCTGAGGAAACAGGTTCAGAGAGGCAAACTAATGTGCCCCATGAGGCTCACACAGCAAGATCAAACCTTGGCCTAGGTGTGAGCTGGCCCGGCTCCTCCTCCCTGCCCGGCAGATCACCTCTTTAGGCCTGCATTCTGGAGCCCTACAGGGGCCCCGTGCTTCCCCTTCCATTGTCTCCCCTCTTCCCTCTCCTCTTGCACACTAGCCTCCCTCCTAGAGTTCCAGAGCTGTGGATTCACTGTCTGAGATACCAGAGAGAGCTGGGCAGAGCCATGCACTGACTCAGGGCTCAGCCTGCTCTTGGTAAGGTCTTCATCCACACACTCAACAGGGCAAGTGAGTATGTCTTAGATGTCCAGCCCCATCCTCCTACTGGGCAGGTTGGAAGCCCTCATTCTGGGCTTTCACCCTAACTCCAGGGACTGCAGAGGCCCAGAGGTGAGCTGAAAGCCCAGAGCAGCTGTAAAGATGGTGGATCAGGGGCTGGAGAGATGGCTCAAGGGTTAAGAGCACTGGCTGTTCTTGCAGAGGACCTGGGTTCGATTCCCAACACCCACATGGTGGCTAACAGCTGTCCATAATTCCACTTCCAGGGAATCCAATACCCTCTTCTGACCTCTGCGGGTATTGCATGACATGGGCACACTTAACATACATGCAGGCAAAACACTCATGCACATAAAATAAAAATAAATAAACCCCCCAAAAATTAAAGATGGTGAATCATCAGAACTGGGCTTGTGGCCCCTAATCTCTGGACCCTGGGAACCCTTTAGTCCTGTTCCGACTCTTGCCTCTCTCCTGAAAGCCCCTTTTAGGCCTGGGAAGGGCAGAAAGCTCACTGAACCTCCCACTTCCATCCTGTGAGCCTACCCAAGGCCTTGTGAACATGCCTGTGAACATGCTAAAGTAGTCTGTGAACATGCTAAAGTCTCCATCATCCCTCTTTCTTCCTCCCCTGTCCTTGCTCCCTTCCTCCTCTTGGGAATCCCCTGAAGAGCCATTTTGGGTACCCTTAGCCTTTGGGGAAATTCTCGGCAAACTACTCCCCAGTGCAACGCAGGGAAGGGAGGGAGGAGACAAGGGAGCACTCAGAGTCCCTGACGGAACGGGGAGTCTGGTGGGCAGCCTTGGCCCCCTGGGTTCTAGTGTTGAACTCAACACTAGAGCTGGCCTTCTAGCAGGCTGAGCTCTCCCCGAGGGCCTGATGCCACCCCCAGGATATCCTCGGCACCGGCGGTTACTGACACCCCCTCTACCTCCTCCACTCTCTCTTGCAGTCCATGGCATCAAATGGACCTGTAGCAATGGGAACAGCAGCTCGGGCTTCTCAGTGGAACAGCTGGTACAGCAGATCCTGGACAGCCACCAGACCAAACCCCAGCCTCGGACCCACAACTGCCTCTGCACCGGCAGCCTGGGTGAGCTGGGGCCCCTGGGGGGCAGGTGGCATTGGGCACAAGGAGCTCTGTGTCCCATCCAATGACAGAAGCAGCGAGTGGAGACCTCTGGGGGCAGGTGGTACTGGGACACAGGGTCTCTGCCATCCTGTCCAGTGAATGAAGGACTGAGTTGGGGACCATGGAGGACAGATGGTGCTGGGGCACAGGGGCCCTCTGGTCCTGTCCAGTGAGGAAGGAACCAGAAACCAGGTGACATCACACATCTGGAAAGATCACCCATCAGGCCTTTTATCCTGGTTTTGCATCCCCAGAACGGGCTTCCCAGCCAGCCTTGGACAAAAGACAACAGTTTCCAGTGAGGCAATGGAAATAAGAGGTGATACACAGATGAGCTGAAGGAGTGGAGAGGCTTGGGGGCCACTGCACCTACCCAGGTGCTTACAGGGGCCCACGTGCCTTGGAAGCTTCAGTGGGAAACCTAGGTCACCATGCTCTGAGGTTTTTCAGAAACATCCTCCCTGAGTCTCAGCCTGTCGGTAGCCTCTGTCTTGTCCACACTCCACTCTAACACCTGCTTTTCTGACAATGACATTTGCTTTGTGGGATATGGCTTTCCACTCACCCCAACTGCCCTCAGTAGATGCTTCCATCAATAGTAGGTCAGTCACCACTCTGTGAAGGCTTCATGCGTTTAAGGGGTCTTGGTGGTGAGGCCGAAACAGAATCAGGGAGAATTCATACTTTTATCAAAAGCAAAATGACCCTTGTCTAATGGAATGGAAGCAATGACCCCAAGGATATGAGAGCCCCAAAGAGCTGAAAGCTCAAGTCCTGCCTTAACCGAACGGTTAGGGAGGATCACTCTAGAGAGCCTCTTGTTGGGCTGGCAAGATGGCTTAATGGGCAAATACACTTGCCACTAAGCCTGGCAACCAAAGTTTGATCCCCAGACTCAGATAGTGGAAGGAAAGAACCAACTCCCACAGGTTGGTCTCTGACCTCCACATGCATGCCACAGCACATGCAACACACACACACACACACACACGCACATACACACACACACAAATAAATGTAATAAAATAGTAAAAATAAATGTAATAAAAAAATTTAAGGGCTGGAGAGATGGCTCAGCAATTAAGAACACAGGATGTTCTTCTAGAGGACCTGGGTTCAATTTCCAGCACTCACATGGTAGCTAACAACCATCTGTAATTCCAGTTCCAGGGTATCTAACACCCTCTTCTGGACTTTGTGGGGCATTGCACACACATGGTGTACTTACATGCATGGAGGCAGAACACACACACATAAAATAAAAGTAATAATTTTTTTTAATTTAAATACCTTCTTACTCCTGGAGCAGGATCTAAAATGCTCTTTGGTCCTGGGATCTGAGAGCTGGTCTGGAGAGGAAACATTCCCCAGCTCTGGGCAATCTCTGACTTCTAGTCTCTGGGGGCAGGGCTCTTTATTGAAGCATCTGAGGGCTGCAGGCCTCTTGAAGCTTTTCACAGTCAGAATCGGGTGTGAGAAGTTGGGGTGGGGTGGAGACACAGCCACCATCCCTGGGCTGAGCCTGCAAGGCCAGAAAGAGTCATTCCAGACGGGCAAGGTCTGCCTCTGATTGGGAAGACTTTCCTGAAAGATGACAAGCTCCCCACACTCTCCTACCTGGCTTCCTTCCCACATGCTACACAAGACTGCTTTTGGAAAAGAGCAGCAGATTAAAACTTTTGGTCTTTGGAGGACGGTCACATGGGGCGTGGCAGTCAGTGGGCTCAAGACCCCAAGTGTCCAAGAAGTATGTTCTTGTGTCTTATATCCTGCCTGGACTCCAGATGGGACTCTGCAACAGGCTCTAGCTCTTAGGGATAGAATTTGACAAAGTCCCAGCTCTGACCCTGTCTCGTGTGTGTGTGTGTGTGTGTGTGTGTGTGTATGTGTGTGTGTGTGTGT